AGATTATACACATTTCCAGGCACAGGACTTCAGCACGAGGACATCACCGTCTGAAGTGAACATCTGTTTCAATCACCACATAGTCCTGGAGTAGTGAGGGAAGTAGTAAATCAGAATGGAAGGTTAGGGCTTCAGCTTCCATGTCTATGAAATAACTGCTTGGAACAATGAGCTGCAGAGATGTAACTTCAGCATAGAGCATTTGTCTGGTTTCTGGGGTGTGACTAGTCTTACCTTCTGGACTTGCAGCTTGCTGTTGATGAGGTTCATTCTACCAATGGCTGGAAGAGGAAAACCCTGCTGAAGGTATTCTGTGGAGGCAGGATTTGTGCATAACATTATTACATTAATGGTTTCGCTTAGAGAAACAAATTTTCAGACTTCTGGCCGCTACTCCCACCGCACAGCAGCGTAGCGTGCGTACTCTCAGCATCCTAGTTCTTTGTACTTACGTATATCCTTAAAATGATGTTGAATAACGACTTACGAACATTTCAAGTTACGAACGGCCGTTCGGAATGTAACTTGTTCGTAAGTAGAGGAGCAGTCTGTATTTGTATGGTATCACCTTGTGTTTTCCCTAATCTCCAAAATCTTCAGATATTTACATCAGGTGCGCGATTTGTACCACTTCTTTTCATGACCCAACTGGGTCACGTTTATATGTTCATTTTACGGACTGTTTGTAAGTAAGCTGTAAAATAGAACCAACGTATAAGACAAGACGTCAAATGGCCGCAGCTAGTCTATATCAGTGCTTGGTTAAATCATAATCTTTAATGATTAGCCAGACGAAATCCTGCTTTCTGAAACAAGCCAAGTTCTACCAATGTTCCTTGTTAGCCATTGTTAGCAATACCAGTTGATAACAACTTGCTACGTGGTATTTTGCACATATAAACACCACAGCAACATGTCCACAGATTGAGGTTGGATAGTCTTGGGTGTACGACTAATTTAATGAAACACGTATAAGACATAAGTGCTAATGAACAGTATGTAACTACAGCTTTCACTTTTGCTGATAAAGGGTGCCACCTTCTGGAATTGTGACGTCGGGGTTGCAGAGGTTCCTCCGTATTTCCTCCGCATTTCCGACTTCCAAGTTCAAATGGAATGCGGCATCAAAATCAAATCAAATCACTTTTTTTTGTCACATCACTAGAATGAGTGAACTGGTGAGTGAAAATCTGGGGTCACGAGTTCGTATCAGCACTGCAGTGCATTAAATGCAAACTACGTGAAACAACTAATCAGCATAGCCATCTAGCACTGCACATCAAGACTGTACATAAAACAACTCTACAGCAGTATACAACTTTACATATTCACAAATGAAACAATACAGCACACAATACAATACAAGCATACATACAATATACCATGGGGCAGACAGACATACTGTAGGTGTAATACAGTACAGTTTAGTGAACCAGAGGCATCCACTAGTGTAGTGGGGAGTGGGGGTGGTGACCTGGTGGAAGAAACTGTCCTGGAGCCTGCTGGTCTGGTGCTTGATGCTCCAGACCAATACGACAGGGTCACTTTCATGATGTATTTCTTAACTTTTCTCTTTTCAGCCTAACTCATTTGAAATAAACTCTGTTTTACAAAATATATTAATTATTAATATTTCACATTAGCTGGGTTTTTGTTATTGCTGCAAACTCTAGAGTTGTGTGAGTCATACCATTCAGAGTTTTCAGGAGGTCAGTTTGCATCAATGGGCAGACCTGTAAAGGAAAGTAGTGGGTTTTCGTGAAAAAGTGTTGTCAATGTGAAAATGAAATGTAGTCTATCCATTACATTATAATTCCTTATACATTAAGCCATGCTAGGGCATTGTTGATAGTCACCTGGGTCTGTAAAGAATCACGCAAAGCTTGATCAATGAACCTTGTAAAAAGGTTGTACAACCAACTGTGAAAGTAAAACAAATTACATTATTATTTAGAACATATGTTACAGTATTTCCTCTTACAAACTGGGGTGCTGGTTATTTTAATAAAGTCTTCCAATAATGACAACAGTATGCGAGAGAATTTGCATTTGACCGCATATCTTTTGTAGTTTAAATGCAAATTTGTCCTGATGCATCCTCGACTTCACGGGGCAGTAACAAAATAGGAACACAAATGATCAGCTGGACACCGTGAAGATACATGATCAGCTGTCAACTTGGGATCCGATCAGCTAAGACGCATTTTAAAACCAAGGGTTTTAAATATGTGCACTTCACCATACTTGAGTTCTCGTGTACCTGTTTTACGTCATTTTCCATCAGAGAAGATCGGTTCCGATACCATAATAACAGAAGTACAGAGGACGGATAAAAATCCCCGGATGTCAAGGACCCTCCCATCACTGAGTGTGACTCTCCGAGGATGATTCAGATGCGCATAATGCTTTGATTCCTCTGTATCCAAGATGTGGGTCACTAGACCATAAGTGGTGTGTCACTTGCTCACAGACCCCCTCTAACAAATGCCTCTTTATTTGTACTCAGAGCCTTTGCTCCTTCTCTGTTCCTGGTAGAGACTGGAGTTGCCATCAAGCCATGCGCTACGACTCCTCTCAATATCGTCCAGGGTGCCCTGCAAGATGAAGCATCTCCTTCGGGGAACACAGGCAACACCAACACACCCTTCAGCAAACATCAGGGTTTTGTCAGAGAACGTCTCCCATATCCCATTACAATTGGCAGTCGCACCCAAGTTTGCAAATTCCTCACACAAACTGCATGCAAACTCATTAGAACCAGCCTGATCTTGGAGTCTGGCCAGGTCCAGCCTCATTCTCTTACTAGGTGATAGCCTACTGGACCTAAGCTGAACCTTCAGAGTAGCAACAACAATTCTGTGGTCAGAGTTCACAAACTGGGCACTGGAACCATGATCCAGTGACCTGCCGACCTTTTGAAAAGTCAATTACATGGAGTCACTTTCATCATCACTGCCATCCCAGTTAGTGCCAGTGGTTGCACCCATGACCAGAGACCTGTCACCTATTGGGCACCCATCAACTACCGAGCAAAGTAGTGAATAAAATGTCTCCCTCATCGAGACATCACTCATCACAGTTGGAGTATACACTGAGACAATAGACAAGACACCCAGAGAGTGTCTTCACCTGAGCCTCATGATATGCTCGTTGAACGGAGTGACATTAGATTCCATAGGGAGAAGCCAATCTGCCACAGCCATAGCTACTCCCTGAGTATGGCAGCCATCAGAGTGATAACAGGAGTACCCACCTACAAAGATCTGGCCACTCCTAGGTCTGCGTTCCTCAGAGATAAGATGTTCCACACACCCGGATGGGCCACCTCAGATTAGGACCTAAGTGCTGCCACACAGCAGGCAACGCCACGCGACAGGCTCTGATCCCCACCAGGCTTATCTCCATTGGCTTATTTCCCCCACCCCCTTCATGCGGCGTGCAGCCATCCTGTGGCCAGCTGCAGCAGAGCTATTCCCACGGCCCCACCCCCCATATTAAACTCCCTTCTGATGCCACTGCTTACAACATAATTCTTGTTACACTGAATTTCTCTCTGTTAATCCCAGAAACTAGCAGATTTGTTCCCCATTTGCTATAACATACTGTGGCTTCACCTAACACATGGTGAGTCACTGGAGAATTTATGGTAATGTTTCAGGAAGCTGTTGTAATTCATTGGCTCAGTGAAACTATCTGTTCGTTATCCATACCTGGCCCCTCCATTTAACGTGATACTGACGCCACCCAAGCTGGCTGTGCAGCCATTGCTGCTTACGGTGGGTCGTCCTGTTTCGTCGCTGCCCACACTGATGGTGGCCTTGATGGTCAGACCAAACACGGCTACATCAAAGCAGCCACTGTCTTGCCTGTATAGTGAGCAGTGCAAGAAAGTCTTAGTTATTCTTGTCCAGCCTGAAAAAGTGTTTGTCCGTTTGAAAAAGCCTGCAGTGATACTCACATGAGTCCAAGGTATGTGACATGCCAGTCTCCGTGCAGACCGATCAAGTTGGTGCCAATGGACAGGCTGATACCAGTGCCGGGGACGAGGCCCAGAGAGGACTGCGGCAGGCCCAAGTCTGTGATTCTCATACTGGAGGAAGCAACAGACCGGGACACACTGTGACTAAAACAGGAGCCTGCAGCATCGCCTGGAGCAGAACCATGACCCTGATCACTACAGACTGGGGGCAAAGCAACGCGATTGGTCTGCTGTGCAACTGTGCTGCCAACAGGCTGAAAGTTCACATTCTGGGGATTAAATTATGGGTAACATTCAGCACAGACCCTAAATGTATATGTGAATAAGGAAATCAAGGTATACTTTTAAATTGTATTGTGTTCTGAAATAATGTAACAAATATAGAAAAATCAGATAAATGGTACTTACATAAAATTTTATGTAACACTTTACTTAAGGACATTTTAGTTTGTAATAATCTATAAACTCATAATAATGCATTCATAAAACATAAATATCACTATAAAAACTTATGAAAAGTCATACCACATTAAAGCCATGTTTATTATGCATTATGAATGCTTTATGAAGCTCTTATCTATGATGCAGTACAGATACCTTTATAATGCATTATAATGGTTGGTATAAGCATTAAGTATGCTTTGTACTGCATTATAAACGTTTCTATACTGCATTATAGATGAGTTTCATAAGGCAGTCATAATGCATAATAAATATGGTCATAATGTGTTATGCCATTTTATAAATACAGTGGTACTCTGGTTCTCGAACTCACTAGAACTCGAATTTGTTGAAAGTTGAACAAACCAGTTTGACCTAGAACTCGATCTGAATATCAGAAGTCGAACGCTGACCTAATATAAATTGTACGCGCCAGGAAATGAGTCATATACCAAGCATATTGCCCTTTGTCTTCCGTTCAGCCCTGATCCGCTCTGTCTGCCTGCCATCCCTCAGACCTCACCTGTGTGTCTACCCCACGTCTGGTGTGCTGTTCATTGGACTGATTCTCCTGGCTCCTGACCTTCTCCGCAATGTGACCCCGATCTGGATCTTACCCGCCAATCATCTGTCTTTCTGCCTATTCCCAAGCACCTGGCTTCTGACCACCAAACTCACGACTTCGATTCTGCTCATCAGTTCACTGTTTGGTTGCTTGGTCCTGATAATAAACCCCTTTGCATGACTTTCAAAAGCTTTCTTTGTCCAACAATAAGGATATGCACAATGCATAGGAGGATGTATTTTTGTACCCTGAGAGTCTGTATTTGAAGTTGCCAATGGGAAAAACGTCCTCATGTCCAAAGATATCCTGGATTTTGACAGACCTCAGGTTCTCCTGCAGATATTCAATTCCAGTTTGTAGGCCTACAGAGAAACCAGAGGAAAGTGAAGTTTTACTGAAAAGCTGAAGCTGCCTTTGTATCACCATAATAGTTTCAGCTGCAGTCATGTAACCCTGTTATCTGGGATCGGGTTAGCGTTAGGGCTATTCCAGAGCCATTTGATATACTCATCAGCTTTGAATGCTAATGTACTCTTTATGACCATTCATTTCATTCCACATTACTGGTGGTTGTAATATTTCAAATCCACAGAACTACACTGCTCAAATAATTATAGGAATAATTTGAAAAAACATTGTATCTCAAAGGGAAAAAACATCATGCTGGATATCTATACTGATGTGGACTGGGTAATGTGCTAGGAACGAATGGATGTCACATCATTTGATGGAAATGAAAATTATCAACCTACAGAGGGCTGAATTCAAAGACACCCTGGAAATCAAAGTGAAAAAATGATGCGACAGGCAACTCAAGATTGTACTCAGTAGTTTGTATGGCCCCCAAGGGTCCAAGGATTTCATCCCGATACCTAATGGCAGTCAAGGTGCTGTTGTCTAGCCTGTAGAGGTCTGTGTGTCCCTCCATGGATATGCCACCCTGGGCCATCACTGACCCACCACCAAACCGGTTTTACTGAACAATGTTACAGGCAGAATGATGTTCTCCATGGCTTCTCAAGACCCTTTCACTTATGTCACATGTGCTCAGGGTGAACCTGCTCTCATCTGTGAAAAGCACAGGGCACCAGTGGTGGACCTGCCAATTATGGTATCCGATGGCAAATGCCAGTCAAGCTCCACGGTGCCGGGCAGTGAGAACAGGGCCCACTGGAGGACGTCGGGTCCTCAGGCCACCATCATGAGGTCTGTTTCTGATTGTTTGGTCAGAGACATTCACACCAGTGGCCTGCTGGAGGTCATTTTGTAGGGCTCTGGGCAGTGCTCTTCCTGTTCCGCCCTGCACAAAGGAGCAGACACCGGGCCTGCTGATAGGTTAAGGACCATCTATGGCCCTGTCCAGCTCTTATAGTAACTGCCTGTCTCCTAGAATCTCCTCCATGCCCTTGAGACTGTACTGGGAGACACAGCAAACCTTCTGGCAATGACACATCAATATGCGCCCTCCTGGAGGAGTTGGACTGCCTGTGCAACCTCTGTAGGGTGCAGGTATCACCTCATGCTACCAGTAGTGACACTAACTGTAGCCAAATGCAAAACCAGTGAAAAAACAGTCAGAGAAGATGAGGAGGGGAAAATGTCAGTGGCCTGTTACACCATTCCTGTTTTGGGGGTCATCTCATTGTTGCCCCTCTAGTGGCCCTTTTGTTAATTTTATTAACACCAAAGCTGACCAGATCAATATCACAGACGTTTAATTGACTTGATGCTATACTCTGATTAAAAAATGTCCCTTTAATTTTTTCAAGCAGTGTATTTAAAATAATTCCTCTGTAATATGATCATTTATCAATGCTTGGCATACTTTACTGTATGCTTGAAATGATGCATAAGGATTATCCATAGGCTGACAACAGTTTACATGCCTGTTATTTGACATTTAGCTATACATCTTATTGTGTGTGAACCTACCATAGTCCAAGACTTGCTGGTTAATTTGGACCTTGACTCCAGGGTTGGTGCTCACGGTTGGGTCTGGGAGAGCCAAAAGCACCAGCAAGGACCACAAAGGCATTGTGTTTCCTGCAGAATCAGTCACGCACATCAGTCTCTTGTCTCAGCAACACTGTACCATGTTAACTTCCAGATCATGTAAGAATTGGCAGCATGACCCAGATTAAGCTGTGGCTGAATATTGCATGCACTAATTCAGAATAAGATGCGCTTACCCATGCAGCACTTTAAAGATACACAAGATAGACCTCAAGGAGTTTCCTATAGAGAGTTTGTTTTGAAGGGCCGCTTATGTCCATAAGTCAATAATGGGCTTGAGACAGAATGAAGTTCAAACTCTTCTGTCCCCTCTGCACATTATTCAAAGCCAACAGCATGATGGGAAAATGCCACTCGCTCGCAGATAATTTTTCTTTCAAATATCTCATAAGGAAACCGTGCAGGTTTAAAATAAAAAACCAAGATGGCGCCCTGCACGGAGAGAGAGCGACTCTGTGCTCTTCTTCTTGCTGTTTTTTATGTTTCTATTTGTTAGTGCTAAATTCAGTTTAGTGAATCCCATCTTTAGTCTCCCAGATCTTTTAAACATAGGATTTCAGAGTAAACATGTGATTACAACTGAATTTCTTTAGTCACACAACATACCTTAGGACATGGCCAGGATTTCGGGCTCTCCCTGGATTGTTATCAGCACTGGCAGGAGAAGGCGATGGCGGAGACACAGGAAGCAAAAGCGAGGCTGCCGGCCTGGCACAGTCGCTAGGCTACAAGAACAAGCACACTGTCGCAACCCAGCTTCTGTCGCTCCAACACCAGATCCATCCACAACAAAATGGACGAACAGTCGCTACATATCGCTGTGAACAAACTCATGGAGGATTCCAGCATTCTGTAAATGAGACTTGACTTTATTTACTCATACTGGATACAGCTAGAAGGCTGCACAGCTCACCACCACAACCAGAACAAAGAGTCGGGTAGGAGTAAAGGAGGGGGGTTAGGCATTTCCGCACAGAGCAACTGGTCTGCTAACACAAAGACCCTAGAAAGTCACTGTTCCCCTCATCTGGAACATTTGACTGTTAAATACAGACCTATTTATACCTGAGTTTACCGTTGTTATAGTTACTGCAGTATATATCTCACTCAATGCAGATGCTAACATAACTCTCAGACACCTACATAGTGCTTTAAGCAATCACACAAAACATCTATATTCAAGCAGTGCAATTCATAGCTGGAGACTTCAACAGTGCTGATCTAGATTTAGTATTTCCCACACTGGAGCAACACATTAAATGTGCAACCATGATCATAAATACACTGGACAAAGCCAATTCTAACATTAAGAATGGCTGTTGGGCAACAGCACTACTACACCTAGGTTGCTCTTTGTAGATTTCAGCTATACTTTTAATACCATCATTCCTTGCAGGCTGGCCACCAAACTAACGAACGTGGGTCTTTCCCAACTTGTCTGTCACTGAATCAAGGACTTTCTGACTGAGCACTCTCAGAGAGTTAAAGTTGGCTCCCATTTCTCCTCTGCCCTCAGACTGGCGTTGAACCACTGGTGTTGAACCCCCTCCCTGCTTTACACCTGTAACACATGTGACTGCACCCCCAGCCACTCCAGCAAGGCTTTCATCACGTTCACTGATAACGTGACTGTGGTGGGACTCTTCTCAGGGAGTCCAAAGCAGGGATGCACCAATCCAACGTTTTCATTTCTCATACTGTTTTTTTTTTTTTCGTTCTTGCACCAGCGCTTTGTGCAAATACAGGCATTCATTCATTCATAAAACCAGAATGTCTGGTTTTCATTGTGGCGGTTGAGTTGCCCTGCAAGGATATTTCTGCTTTTTGTTCATAGGTATATGCTTTCATGCACTTAAGTTTCTAGAATGTGTACTCTTCGTTCTGATTTTAACTTCAAATGACAAAACCGGGCATTATTTGTGTATATCCTGTTTATCTTTTTTTTCTCTTAACTATAGTTTGCAGAAAAAGTCTTACTTTCATAATAACTTGTATTTCAGGAGAATCCTGAGTAAATGTTAATATACAATGTATGTCTCTAGTAATTTCTGCTTTGGAGAGCTCAATCGTTTTAAGAATAAATCGCTGCATAAAAATACCTGACATCCACACTCTCTTCACATGCCTGGCTGTGTGTCAAAAAGACATAACAGCTGCAAAAATACAGAGAAAACATTTGAAGAAGCAGGAGTATAATGTAATCTACAGTGCTAGTCATGCATGGTAGTATGTAAATAAAAGAATGTGTACAGTGTGCCCAGCATACAGCTTTGTAAAACTAATACAGTAAATAAAAAGAAGCTTGACTTTGTTTTTGGTTACCTTGTGTAATTATTCCCAGAATGAGTTAAGTCTGCTCTTCATTACTTCGGTTTGCTGCAGGAAAAAGTGAAAGAAAAACAGACACAAAGCGCTTAAATCACTCTTCGGGACCCGGAAGAGATTCTCGCATAATTAAATGTGAATCATCCCACAACGTCAGAGATGGCAAAAACAGAAGCTCACACAATGCAGTTGAGTCATTCCATATCAGATCACCAAGTCTGCCAAAAATTCCCCAGGTCACCCTCTCAGATTGCTTGAAAAAATTCACAGGTGTTTGTATATCAAAGGAGAAAGGAGGATGGGAAAAGTTAAAAGAAAAGAAAGCCAAGTCTCTCGAAAATGATGCGTCAAAATGAAAAAAGCTCACAGAGCTTTTTGGCTGCAGTTCAACTGCCATCAGCAGCAGTAATGTAGATCAAAACGCTAAATCACCCAGCAAGAGTGCTGAAGACCAGGTGAAAGTTGAACCTGTTGAGCATCCACAGACTGGTCACGAGGGACAGACAGCAGAGGAAATTTCATGGGAGGAAGAGGTACTGGTAAGTGGCCTCAACAGGTATATTGCTGTTCTTTGTACGTATTTGTATTTGAAGACTTAGGTTTAATAAACACAGCCGCAATCATCACCACTGGTTGACATGTTACTTGGCGTGAATATTTTATGTAGTATATTATTGTGAGAACCCTGCTAGTGGCTGTTTGTACATGTCCAGCTGCTGGGTCTATTTGGGAGAAAGTCCAGGGCTGTTTTTTAGTCTCAGTCCGCCCCTGAATACATCGCAAAAATAGGAAAACATAAAAACTGCCAAAATGGTCAAATGAGGACATAAAAACAGTAATGCAATGGTAAATGACAGGAAAAATACTGAGCACTTTATTTAGTGTACTGTTTCATTGAGAAGCTCTTAAAGGGGTGTGATTTAAAATTTGTAGCCATTTTCAGAGGCTTGTAGGAGGAAAAGTACATAGGATACATCGGATGTGATTACCATTTTGAATTCTACAGAAAAGGGATTAACCCTAACCCTAAACCTAACCCTAACCCTACTCACAAAGTTTCTAAGGCCGAAAGGCTTGGCAAAATGCCTACAATTAATAAAAAATTAAAAAATTCAATAAATTAATAAATTCAAAATTACACTTGTTTGAGAGCTTCTCACTAGGACAGTAGGCTAGATAAAGCACTAAGAGTTTTTTCTCCCATCATTTATGACATATTAGGCTATGTGTATGCAGTAAGCATATCCCAAGATTATTTGCATGGACAATCGAAGCCTACAAAGGCTACATGTACCGCATCCTTCAAAGAATACAGTCCCTGAATTTGGGCACAGCCCAAGAATGTGAAGCTTGTTCTTGTGGCCTCGGCGAGAGCGGTCCTGCTGACTTGCCTCCAAGAACGAACTTGGGACACAATGAATCATGGGATCGGTCTTGTTTGGTGAGGATGCAACCGATGCATCCTTGATATTTGGAGCGGGGTAAGAACGACATCCGGAGATTTTTATGGTCCTCTATACTTCAGTTCTTAGTATTGGAACTGGTCTTCAGCAATGGAAGAGAACCTAAAATGGGTATACGACAAACCAAATACAGTCAACTACCATACTGAGACATACACCCAAGACACCCAGCCTACCACCATCAGACACATGAATGGTACACAGATCAGACAGAAAAACAATGGAGGATGTAACATTGGACCTTGCAATTCTATCAGTCTGGAAGTCCACTTTCTACAATCTTGTGATGTGGAGTTGTCCGCATTCTGAGTCAGGAAATCTTTCCAGTAGTAGACAGAAGTGTCCTACTTCCCCATCTTTTTTTTTGTATATAAGTGTTCTACTAACTTGACTCTGAGAGAGCTCTGCACAAGAATTCCAATGTGCCTGGAATGTTGGTTTTATGCACAAATGGCGAATAAAAATCTTGTATCTCATACACTGCATATGGTGGTGCAATATAATGTTATATAAACATTATATAAAACCAAATTAAAAACAAATCATATAAAGAGAAAATGGATATTACTGGCCCACAACCCTAGATAAAAAAGTGGAGATGGGCATGTTTACCGCTGTGTTGCATCACCACTCCTTTTAACAGCACTCTGTAAGCGTTTGGGAAATGAGGAGACCAGTTGCTGCAGTTTTGAAAATGAAATGTTGTCCCATTCTTACCTCATACAGGGTTTCAACTGCTCAAGAGTCCGGGGTTCCCTTTGTCGTATTTCATGTACACTATTCAGGATGTACACTATTCAGGATGTACACTATTCAGAATGTACACTATTCAGGATATACACAATTCATGGTGTATACTATTCAGAATGTACACTATTCAGAATGTACACTATTCAGGATGTACACTATTCAGAATGTACACAATTCATGGTGTATACTATTCAGACCACTTTTCACATTTTATGTTGATAAAGTTGTTTAATTTTTTATGTCATTAATGTATACACAGTACATAATAACAAAATCAAAAAAGGACTTCAGAAATTTTAGCAATTTTATTAAATTTAGCAATTTTTTAAGTTTTGTTTGTATTCTATATATATTGCATATGTATATATGTATTGTATATTTATTGTATGTGTCTATTTTTAGAAGATCAAACATGACATTTGTTGCAGCCAGGCATAAGGAAGTACTAAATGTTATTTACCTTTCTTTTGAAAATATATAAATGCATTTATATGCAGTATGGAGGAAAAACAAGACACATGAGAATTGCAATATTCAAGATTAATAAGAAATCATTGGAATAAAGTAAAAAAAAAAACTTTAAAATTCTCCTCTTGCAATACTCTCTTACAAACGACAAATGGAGAAAACTTAACAACATTTATACATTGTTATATAATTGTCTTTCTGTTGTCAGCCGTTAGGAAATCAGCAAAGATACACATCTCCAGTCATGGGGCGTGAGGACATCACTTTGTGAAATGAACGTCTGTTCCAATCAGCATGTAGTCCTGGAGCAGTGAGGGAGATAGAGTTGACTTGTAAAGCAGAATGGAAGGTTAGGGCTTCAGCTTCCATATCTAT